TGTACGGGCTTCCGAGCCAGATCTTTCATCGTGTATTTCGAGAACACCCCTACACACAATGGTCCGGCGCAGGTCAAATTTGAGCGGCGCTTTTTCCTCTTATACGTCTGATTTGAAAAACCGATGCCGATTTTCACCACTCGGGCTTCTTCTTCAATTTCTCGAGAACTTCTTCTGGGGCTAGGTTCGCCAAATTTCACAGATACACAGCTTAAGGTACTAGCTTCCAAATGGTATAGTAGCCCGCTGCTCTATCCCCTTTGCTTTTCTGCCATTCCTCTATATGTGTCGGCCACTTTGAATGGGATGACCTAATAGACGCTGCAAGCGGGGTGACACACGCACCATCCGCAATAGGACAGCCCATTCAACGTAGCAGTGGCGTTGTGCGTGGACTCTGCCCAGACAACTCGTACAGCGATGTGACGACTGAGAAGTAACGCTCCACACCCAGGTGCTACTATACACACTTTAGGATGTGGTGTAAGAGATGTTGCGGCGACGCGGTGAAGGTGACACCAAGCGGCGTCATGGGTGCGACATTCGAGAGACCTAATCGATTCGGTTGCAAGCGCCGCGACTCAACTAGCTAGAAAGTAGCTAGTTTCCAGGCGTCCCTAGAGGGATGTGACGTTCCACATCCGTGATCCTGATTATTATTCCAGTGATCAGGACTGCGAGTAGTGCCTAAGTATGGGAACTTGAACAATACAGTGTCCCTGAATTAATGATCACAAAAAGTACAGGCTAGGGTCACCTACAGTGAGTATTACCTCTCTTGGTGGAGAATAGGGAATGTCAGATCACAAGAGTACGGTGATGGCGGTGGCGATACCTGCTCGTCTTCATCCCTCCCACCTATGTAGTGATCCTTCTACATAACACGCTCAGTCTTAAAACAGTAGATCAAGGTTGGTTGCGGCTAGCCAGGGGGTAGGCATAAACAGTCTTGTTCTCTGTGGGTACTGAGGCATTTTGGGAGAATTGGGTTTGGGGCGGTGCCAGCCTGTTCTTCACCAGTTCTGGAAGCTGGCAGACGACTATAATTGGTGCAGAACAGGCCGGCGCCGTCATAAACTCGCCCTCCCCCCCTGATACGCCCTAGAGAACAGCGTTGTACATGCGCTGCAACGATGCGCACAAAGTACCACAGTTCGCAACTTCGCCGGCAAAGGACGGCCCCATATTCTTAGCGCCCGATTATGGGCCCGCCTGGGCTCAACATCCCCCCTCCAACCTCACTCGGAATACAACAAGAATTCGATGGCAGGGCGCTGATGTAGGCGGCTGCTGATCGTTCACACAGCACCAATAATCAAAGCCCACGTGCTTGGTGATAAGATCATAGTAGACCTCGATGATAACTAAGAACCTCATTTTGAAGGAAACCTCTTCGCTTTCCAGTTGTTCATAGTCGCGTGTGTTCATATACCCGCACGCTGGCGCCTGTCCAACTGCGCACAGGTCCATTTCGGCTTGGTGGGGAAATCGGGGGCATTTTATTGGTCCCATCGACTGGTGCCCATGCCTTTTAGGGGGACCTGCGAATTCTCGTAAACCTCTGCAATGGCATGAGTCTCACATTTGACACGCGTCTACAGGTCTCATCAAGCTGAGTCATGTAAGCTAACAGGAACTGGTGAAAGAGATTAGCGAAAAGGCTGAATGCCTCTGCCCCTTTATTCGAACACTGCCCTGCGCACAATTTGCATGAGCGGCTGGTAGAACTTCGCCGATTGTGAATGGATCTGCTTTCAATGTGCCAATACGTGGGCCCCGAAATCCTATATTTCGAACGAATGGACCCAGGCATTTTTGACACCTTACCTGTTCTTAGGCCCATGCAGCGGCATTGCGGATCCAGATGATATGACATCGTGCCAGGTAGGGTGTTAGAGAATTTCAAGCCCACCTTGTTCCTGTTTTGCAGTGTCCTGACCAGGCTTTTCTGGGTTCGGCTGCGTATCACCTCTGTGATCCTGACCGGGGTTTTCAGGATTCGGCTCCGCCTTCTCTTCCTGAAGTTCCAGTTATCATTAGGAACTAATAAGTACCAATTCTCATAGATGACGTACTTGTTGTGCAGATGGTAGCAATGGTTCCCTGTCGCCATCATCCTTCTGCTGCATGACTTAGACGTCGAAGAACATAGCGAGGTACGGCCGAACGAATGACAAGAATCCTACTATACATTGCTCATAAATTTTCTGAAATGATAAGCTTTGATGTAGCAGTGATATCACTAAACATGCGATTTCATGTGCTACAAACTGCCGACATTCTCTCTCGAATCCTCACTGTTTTTAGCAGCGGGCGCCAACGTACTTAGAGAAAGGCATGCGACGACGGGCAGGGAACAAGACAATCGTATATGCCACGCCGAGGAGGCGTGGCGAGCGACCGCGCTCGCAAGACGGGTTGCCCTGCCTTGCTGTTCGGAATTCAATGTTGAAGCTCCCTTCGAATACACCGCTTCAATTAGAAACATATCGAGAACTAGCCGCAAGAAGAAAAAACTGCAACCTGCATATCACATATG